TTGCAAAAGGTGCGTAATTAACACTTCAAAATATTGCTTATTTGAATTTAAAAATGAATTTAAAAAACAACTGGTGTCATCAGTTATAATTAATTGTAAATAAGACGAGATTCTGCTCTATCAGTTTTTACGAACCAATCCAATAGTGCGATCTTCGAAACACCTTTCATATGGAAGCTCCAAAAGAGGTTGAGGATGGGCTGTACGATTTAGTTCGGAAAAGCGGTGTCCCTATTGATAGGAAGATCTTCAAGTATGTATTTTATTATTTTGTTATGTATCCTAAATCATATATCCAAATTTTGTTTGCATTATTCATCTATATATTTACTATACTTTCTGTTCCTGCTTGGTGTTTAGTTAAAGTTTTTCACATGTTTTCATTGTATATGCTTTAGCAGTTGCTTTTTTGTTGCTTCAGGATATTACTGAATTTTATCAATATGAATTGTGATCCAACAGTGATATACTACGTACTCAAGCACCCTCTAGGTCAAATATCTGGTAATAATTCGCGTTCTACCAGCAGTAGTGTAGATGCCTTTCCACATTTGAGGGATAAACGATCCTCTCGTTCAACTTCAAGACGAGATTTCTGATATTTTTGTCTCCAATGTTTCTGTATATAACTATTGCTTACTGTTTTTATTCTACGTGCATTCCTGTATATCTATCCCAAATTCAGCGCTTCTTTGTTATTGAGTAAATTTTATTTAGCTATCACAGCTTCTTCGCATAGTTTTCGATTATATCAGCATATCATAACTATTATAAGTAAGCGATGTTACCCTGGAACCCCTTTGTTTTTAATCCCGCACTCTATCCCAACCATTCCACTCAGAATTAGTAATTGTAGTTGCTGGTTTCCCCTCCATATTATCGTATTTGCAAATAGTTACTTTCAGATATAATAGCCCCATATATGTCCCTAACGGCCATCCCTATAAAGATGTGAGCACGATTGCTACTCGGCCCTTTAAACCTAGCTGTTACGGTTGGCTATCCATATTACTTGACGTGGATTGCTTATTGTTGTACTTAGGGAACAGGAATTTGTAGAATTAAACGCCTCCAGAGCGCATTCATAAGTACATATTTAATAAAGATAGTTCATCTGAGTCCTCAATGTCCATTATTCTTATCGTATATAAAATGTTGTTTTTCATATCCCCTATAGTCAATCCAATTATAATTCTCACTATGTAAGGCTCTCATTGAATTAATAGGTGTGCATTTCGTTTCCATTTTTCCCAATGGCTTCATTTCACCTTAGGCATAAAGATGCTCGACCCTGAAGTAATAAGGATTACGCTTGAGGGGAGCAATCGTCTTCCCACAATGATTATGCGGCCCTCTCTATGCATCCTCTCCACCCACGTTAATCCGCGTATTGACAAGTGCTGCTGTACTCTTTGAATTATCTGAATTGGCATCAAATGGCTGCTTTTCCGCTAGTCAACGAGAGATTGTATGACCAACTTCTTATTCGCAACTTACCGATTAGTTAGTATTGAGAACTGGGGATACGATCTATCACTCGTGTACCCGGTACCATCCTGAATCATAGGTCATGATGATGTGATGAACTGTGTGCATTGCCTAATAGGCTGTTAACTTAAAGAACTCCTCTTTCTGATTAAGCAGTCCTTTTAATGTTATTACTTCCATGCCTTTTTACTTTTCCTCGCATTTAGATTGTTTTCGTGTTATTAATTTGTTCTTTTTGTGATAGGAAGCTATTAATAGTAGATTATGAGGGAATTACATACAGACAGACTGGAATGCTACTCGGATTACACTAGGCTTTTTGGGTACTTTGAGGCCTAACTAATAATTACAAGGGAAGGAGTAGTCGATTTATAACTTATAGAGGTTTGGCTGTTGAGCTTATGAAAAAAATCATTCAAAAAGATCGATCGTATGCAAACGCATAAGCTTTTTTCAATTTTTGGCGAGACATGAAAATTTGCCTACAAATAATAGAAAATCTAATTATTAGTTTCAATAATGTTACGTGAACCTTTTTACAATTCTGAATCGCGTGAGGTAAAAAAATGATAACTGGGACGGGTCAAAATGGTGCCGAGGACAACCCCCGAGGTATCGAAGACTTGCACTTCATCTAACTTTTTTTGCATTTATCTTTTACGTTGTTCAACTTCTGAGTAGCTCACTTCTGTAGAAGTCTCATGCATACACTCGAATAGTCTTGGGGAGGTGGGTCATGCAATCGTGAACGCAGAGACCTCCCAAGTAACCAGCAATCAACGGTCACCAGCTTTTGTGTCAGTTGCTCATAAACTGTAATAAACCCTATTCCCTTCGCTCGCATTGTCTCATCGATACCGTTAATTTTGGGAACAATTTTATACTTGAGTACTTTGCCAAAGGAGTTTACTGAGGTTTAGTTTGTATATTATCTGCTTCACTGTGATTACCTAGGCCACTGATCGACCTAGTTGTCGTAGTAACATGACTCGTCCACAATTTACCTTTAGATGGCCACATGACACAAAGTCTAATCACTTAACTTTCCTTTTCATGACTTCACTATTCAACACTCAATGATGACGTGCAACCGGACGCTCCAATTCCAACTATTCTTTCCTCCTTCCAATACAAACAGTGCTCTTCTAAAGGTTTTGGCATCATGTTAACTCTTAGAATCAATCGATTCAAAAGATATATTTTTAAGCCTTACTTAGTTAGATTGGCATTACTTGGGATTGGCGCTCATCTAATCCCACAGTGATACACCATTATCCGAAAATTTGAGGCAGATAAGGTCAACAGCAACAGAAGCTCAAGAATCTGCCAAAACAAGAGGGAGTAAATCGGTTCGTGCAAGCTCTGAGAACTAAGTTGCCTCAGAATGAGAATTATTTCGAGTAAATGACAAAGTTTTATTAAAAACAGAGAAGAATTTAAAAGCCTGATGAATAAAGGCACGAAGTGCATTGATGGATGAACCGCCACCAAAGGGTCTGGACATGTTAGCGCGTGAAAGGTGTTGGCAATGGCTGCGCGAATAAGCCTTGACTATAACTCAGAAGACTAAGGTAAATTAACGAGAATACTTCAACAATATCGAGGAGACAGAGCGTTTGGTTTGAACGGCATCCGTTGTAGTTGTGTCGTTAACCCAGAACTTGACCAGCGTTGGGCACCCCACAAAACGTTCAAGCTTGGTAAGCGACGACAATTAACCTGTCAAAGTTACTATGCGTAAGTCTATTTAGTGTCTTTGGGTTGTGAAACGTTCTAATGCAATTTGATCGGATTCTAGGATTTCTTGGATAAACCGTCTTATTCGTCACCAGACCTGTCACCAATTCAACGCCAAAAACATCAATTGTCATCTGACTTAGTTCTGGGGCCAAATATGCATATTTGGACTGGAGTAGTCGTCAAAATTGGCTGATAACCATTTCGACTTTTCCCAGAGATGTGGCAGTGTGCCACTACTACTTATCTCTTATTCAGAGCTTAACTCCCACCACGGTCAATTCAGTTGCGGAGGATGACGCCCATTCGAAGGTCACGACTTTAGGGGAAATTTAGTCTGCATGTCCCAGTGATTTTTCTTTGGACTCTATGCATACCTAACCATCTCCTATTCTGAGTATTTTGGTTTGTTCTTGACATAAGGTGTTCTCATTGGAAAGGCCCACACTGTTTGCGTTTCAATACGTTTGTGAGAATTTGTAGTTTCGAGGTTTTCATTGAGTGTTGCCTTCATGGTAGAGGCTGAAACATTTAATTAACTACGGTGATGAAGACCAAATTCCCAAAGAAGGATCTTTGAGCACTTTGCTGCTGTAGATTTTCGTTGAAGTCTGCCGTGCGAGAGTAATCAGAGAGTTTATCTGACATGCTGATTTCTTCGGGCCACAGCTGACTTGCTTTCTTCATTTCAATTCCCCAGTTTCAGTGAGAACGTTTGCATGTTGTTTTTGAATAATGATATATCATGTTCATTTCTCATTGTTTACATTAATCTTTTTTAAATTTAAAGGGAGCATTATATGCCAAAAGGATATAATGTAAAATATATCACTAGCGTCCTGGAAAATGCAGGGACAGTTTCTTGGTGCTTGGCTGGGAGGGTTCTGCGCTCAAGATAACACTTATTTCCCACGCGCTGCATCTTTGAATCCGTTTGAGTGCACTTAAGACTAATTTGTACAGTCGTGACAGCTTTGTGTACTCCACAACTTATATGCTAATATTAGTGAACTTGGTATTATTTTATTATTAGACAATTTGAGCTTCAAAGCACAGTAATTGGCAAATCGTGTAAGCACATAATTTTTAAGTGTACACATGTATTTAAGATTATTTGGGAGGAACAAATGTTAAATGAAAACTATCTCACCTCATTTTTCCATTTAATAGAGGAAAGGAATCATAGGAATTGAACATTTAGTAGTGTATAGCCCAGTGCACTTATTAATTATTTCGTTTGCCAGTTCTTTACAGTTACATACGAAATTTTTAGATCAAAGAATTCCAAAAGCACGACATCTGCTTTTCAATCAAATCTTCGAGATGCGATAGTGACCATTTAAAACTCTACTTGAGTATTTTAGCAATCTCTGGGTTTCTGGGACACAATAGAGGGCGAATAATTGCAAATTATGAGATGATTTATCTAGTAAAATTATTAATATTGTTTATTTATCTTTGATTTTGAAAATGGATAGAAGTATTGTTTATGTTTATTGAAATTCAACCTTGATAATAGGTGCGCTGTTAATACGCAAGGAAGTGGTTTAGGTTTGCTAATTTTATTGTTGACTATTCTGACATATGTAATAGACTTAGATAAATCTAACCATTGATTTTCATATGATTTTTTTGCTTGTTTTCAATGCAATTAATTTCAGGATCTGGAAATAACAGTCAATTACCGCTTTTATTTTAGTTGCTATTTATGTTATCATATATATTTTGTTTAAATCTGAATTACGTAGTCTTATATTTTAGACTTCATCCATAAAATGGATTTAACTTGTCCATTTTGCAATGTGGACTTGCCCCATGATCTCTTCCATGATCATTTCGCTAAATGTATGAAGGTTACCAATGCGATGCAACAGCAAGAGCCTTATCAGCCTCCATTGCCTGATGAGCATAATTGGTCCTACCAACCGTCTGAATATTCTAAGTCATCACAAAGTAATCCACCCTCTGTTGGTCAGTCCTGGCAATGTAGCTGCTGTAACTTAAATTTTGTCAATCGAAAAGAATTTCAAGAACATTTGACCAGCGCTAAACACAAGATGGCTCTTAACTCAAATATCAGCGGAGGCTCTAGTGGATATCCGAATTCAGGTCAGCCAGCTAGTGAGCTAACGGATATAGCAGCCGCGCCACAACATGCGCCTAATTTCCGTCCACCACCCACTATGGCGCAGGTTAATAAAGGTGCTCCTCAGCCACACCAATTCAGCGAGGAAGAGATGAGATCTATTGTAAGATCGGAAATGGCTAAATATATGCGACAACTCCTACAAATAATCGAAAATGACACCAGTGGATATCCCATTTGACTTTTGTTATTATTACGGCGCCAAATTTATATCTTCAAATAGATTACTTTTCCCCAGTTGTCTTCAGAATTAGCTAACCTCTGATCAAAATAGACTTGAGATGGGTACGCAATAAGATTTAACTATTTTGCCTGTCAGTAATTACTCAAAAGCTTATAAACAATCAGAAAACCACACACAATCAACGTAACAAGTTTAAGCAGTGTCAAAGCTAGTCACTCCGACGCCTACGTTAAGTGGAAGGGATCAAGGATGTGAGCCGAGGGCAGTCAGTTTGGCAACAGAAATCCTGTGTCTCTTTCCTGCGACATGAGGGGAGAGGTTGGCTAACGACGATACAGAACAATTGCAAGCTTCACAACGGATAAATTGTCCATTAATTTGTATGAATTTGGTGTCGTAATTTTCCGTTTGCATATTATTTGAGGGTAACGGTGGTGAATGGTTAGGCTTTTTGCCACCATCAAAATATGGTTGAAAAATCGAACGCAGCTCCTCTCTAACTATTTGACGAATTAAAAGAACAAGATCACCTTCTTTACTGCAAGTGTTGGCCATATTGGTGGCGTTGGCATCATTAGTGTGAATAACGGGAATAGGTGGTTTAGGTTGAGCGAGAGACTGAGAACAATCACCTGCGGATGTGGCGTTTGATGAAATTCTGGCTTCGTGCTCAGCACTTCGAACATGAGCTATCATAGCCTGTTTCTGTGCGAATTCGACATCGCATAATGTACATTTCCATTTAGGCGGCTGAGAAAATTCTGATGATACCTTTGATTCTAACGTAGGAAACTCCTTTTTGGAAAACAAATTTTTATTTAGTAATTCACTCGTTACAGGTTTTGTTGACTGACTTCCAGATTGTGGTAATCGCGAAACAGAAGGCAAGTTGGTTCTTATCGCATTCATGTCGAAAGAAAGATTGTCTCCATTGTGAAATTCACTAGAGGGAACAGTGGCACTCATTCTTTCAGGTACTAAATTGTAGTCTGCAGCTCTCTTTTCGGGTTGCGAAATAGTAGAATCGGAAGAACGAGGTGGAGGACTTGGTGGAAGACTTGGTACATCGTTTAGTGCAGCGGGAGAAGGTAAAGGCCCGCTTTCACAAGTTAAGTTATTAATATGATCCCAAAGTTCAGAGCTATCCCTGAAAGTCCGATGACAATATGGGCAACCACCGACCTCATCCATAACTGTACAAAAAAGGAAGGATTCTATTTTAATACATGAGCAAAACATTAATACTAATCTTAAAATAAAGTTACAACAAAATATCAAAGGAAAGTGAAAATCTAGCAATGTTATGGAAGAAAAGCCGCACATTCAGAAAACAGACCCAAATGTACAATAACTCAGATAATAGCAACCTCCGTCAGATAAGCCTAATATTACTAGTGCATTCAAAACGTATTGCTAAGGTTTATTTAAGTGTAAATAATTTAGTTTCATATATATAATACATCAAATATACTTCTTTATTTATAGATCGAACTGAGGGGTTAAATCAAATGTTTATTTCATCCTATAAAAAAATTTTCAAAATCAGCTTTAAGCTTTTAGGTATATAATAAACCTATATATACCAAAAGGATCTAAAAATTATACCCCAGAGGAACCTGATCGATAAATAATTGCAAATAGTGAGATCCATCTATTATTTTCATTATGAACGGTTCGTGGAAAATTATGTTAATTATCGATCATAAAAAGCTTTTTTTTTAATTTGAATAGGGCGTGATATTTCATCCTCATTAGATTACATGACGGTCTTGGTTTCATCTTTATTCTTTTTATCTTTACAAGCATATAATTGAATTCGAAATAGAAATATGACAGCTTCATCTCAATGAGTTTGTGTTATCCTCATTAATTTAGACATTAATTGTGAGATCATGTTAATACGTAAAAATACCTTCTATTCTCTTACGCTATTTTTCGTAATTAATCAATGAAACATAAAAATTTAAACTTGAGGGAGAATGCGAATTTTAAACATAAATAAGTTAATAAAAGTTAATTAATTTGAATTATTTTGTATAAATGCAAGATTCATTGATTCTTTATCCTTGTTTAATTAATTACATTTTGTCATTTTGTATCAACATTTTGCAATTGCCCTATCTGCCTTTTATTATTTCTTCAAATCGCAGTATCGAAATCTATTCTTATCTTACAATATTTTTGAATATCCTCGATATTCGAAACGTGTTTGGAGAATAGAACAGAGTATTTTCTATTCAGTAACGATTTATAAATTCTATAGAAAATAGCAACTACTTATTGTAGTACTTCAAGTTTGAGTCACATGGACGAAAATTACCATGTTACCACTGTTAATAGATCAACCAATTCCCTTCAAACCTATAATAAGTGAATCTGGTTTAAATGTAAAAAAATCTTCGTTAGTCATCTGTTATGTCCTGTCACGATGTCTAGATATGATTAATATATTTGTTTTGGAGCCTATGTTAAAACTCGCATACAGTCGGATTGACTACAGTTTCCGAAATTTGTGGTTCAATTAGCAGTCGGTCATTTTTGGTTGCCAGAAATCCTGCTTCCATATCACTACAGTTCACTCAAGATGGATTCTTGAGCAAGTTTATTTGTCATAGTAATATTGTAACCAAACCCTTTACAATTTCAAGAATCTCAGATAATTGGATATAATATGAATTAAACTACTTATTTTGTATACAATATGCTTGAGTATGAGAAACAGAATAATTATACCTTTCTGCCAAGCTAGTAAAATAATATTCTTTTTTGGCAGGAAACCGCTGGTACTTAATTACTATATTTGTTAATCAATGTTTTGTCGTTATGAAACTTTTGAAATGTCAATTCTTTCGAGGAACAATATGGGCAAATCTCAAATAATTATTAATAAAGATTACCTTCGTTTAAAACTGGTACCATATAACATTTATTGGGATATTTTATTCTGCTTAAAGGTTATTTGATCTTTAGTTAATTTTGACAACAGGAATTTATTATGTTTCAGTGTATATAGTTGCTTCGTGTATATTAGAGCTATTACCTTGCTAACAGCTGATTATTCAATGTCAAATGATCCTACAGAATTAATTGACTATCTTGAATGGAGGAGTATGGCACGTGCACCTTGTGAGGATTTGAAGTGAATTGCGTAAGAAATCTGTTTATAACGGCCAGGACATGTTTAGTTTGAGTCCCTAAGATATATATTTATGAAGGAATTCTTGGCTCAAACATAATAATTGGCACAATTTTTAAATATTCGTAATGAGGCGATTGGTTAGGAGTGCATTTTAACTTGGCAGATTGTAGAAGCCTTCCCACAATACAACATTTCATAATTAGCCACATATCTTTGTTAAGCTCACTGTGATGCATAAATGTAAATTTTTATGCACAGATTATAGGCATAAAGCAGCTGAAATGATAAACTGATATTACAAAAGAAATGCAGCCGATAAGATTCCCTTAGTAGATTGAAACACGAGTAATCCTTGACTTATCCTCCGTTGTCTCTAATGACTAAATACTCTATTATGGGATAGCTAGGTAATTAACTACCCTATCTCAACGATATAGAGGAGACAGCCGTGAGACATGGGGTATCTTTATTTAGGTTGTGTGTATGAAAATGAGTTAGTCATTCTTGACCATGGCGTGACTACTGATTGTTGATTAGTTGAGAGGTCTCTGCATTCACGAGAGCGCATTACTCCCACTACGTCTGCACTTGGTGCTACGGGATCAATAACACACTTCCCCTTACAGAATGCTTGAGCGCATCAGATTCCTTGGTTCCCCCAAGTTAGCGTTGTGTTCGCCGAAACGCAGCTTACCATAAATTAATTACATTAAACACACACACACTCACATATATATACCCTAAGAAAAATAGTATTATTTATAATTATGCCTTCCATTTTTGAGTTGCGAAATTGTGGTGTAGCAGACTTCAACATTTGCTCAATCATTATCACTAATTTGAGTAGAGTGAACAATGGCTATACTTTAATCAAACACGCCATAAACGTGTCCAAGCGCTTTATCTTAAAATTTGCCAAGATCGAACCATCTGAGCCTAATGAGTGTCGATTTAGAACTCAATGTAATAAAAAAACTCACCGGATAACATTAAAATTTGCAAATTCCCACAATTTATTAGCAATGGGATGTTAAGTGAACAAATTAAATGCATGCAAATTGTGGGTACCTTTCATTATTTTGGAGACTCAGGCAAAATGCAGGAGACTATAGCACTCAGTCAATTGCACATGTTGACTCATAAATCTATACCGGCGTGTCTGTAGGATAATACCTTTTTCAAATTTTTTACTCTCATCAAATGAAAAAAAGGGCGGCTTCATTTACACAATCCGTCTTTAACACACCTTGCAGCGAAACTTTTCTCCAATCCTTTCAACTCCTTAATTTGCTTCC